CTACGATGGCAACGCAGGCGCGGCATTATTGCCGCACTCATCAACACGCTGAAAGACTTGGGCTGGGACCCTCAGCGCGCCGACTACTGGATCGACCCCGAGGGTGACGGGTGGCTGCTCAGGGAGGAGGACGCGCACGGAGACCCAACCGACGTCATTGACGCGCTGACCAGCCAGGTCGAGCTTCAGCAATGGAGACAGGCCAGCAAGCACCACAACGGCAGCGGCCTCGAGAACGGCGCCGACGTGCAAGACCTCATCAGCCACCTCCAGCACCTCGACCGACGGGGCAAGCACCAACGACACGGAGCACTCCTGGCTGCTGCATGCGCTGGGACTTCGGCCACGGCAGCGCATCGCAGACGCCTACGGCACGCCCAACCTATGCGAATGTGTAGCGCCTGACGACGACTACCACCGCATCTGGGGAGACTGCGCACAAAGACGTCAGCACATCATATACGAACGAACAGAGCACTTCAAAGAGCGAGCAAAGGAGGGCATCGAGACGAACGCAGCCTTCTGGCTCAGAGGCACCACCCCACGACCCATGACCTGCCCACCACCATGCACTACGGAACCCCCGCACACCTGCGATGGCGACATTCAGCGCGGCCAACTGATCGCAGACGACATCCCACTACACTTCTGCGGTGACGGCAGCGGAGGAGCCATGTCAGCAGACCGACGGTACCGCAGGTGCGGATGGGGATGGGCTTGCATGGACCACGCGACTGCACGGGCAAGTTTGCGGGGTCCACTACCAGGACCAAGACAGACGAACAACCGAGCGGAGATGTGGGCACTACTCAGCGTGTTGCAGAACTCGCAGGGTCCCATCATCTATTGGACGGACTCAGAAGTACTGATGAGGAACTGGAGACGCAAACGGCACAGGACCAAAAAGTACCACTTCGGCAACGGCGACATCTGGATGAGGAGGAAGGGCGCCATCGACCATCGGGGAGGAGGAGACGAATCCATCACGATAAGACATATGCAGAGCCACCTCGAATGTGAAGACGCACGACGAAGAGATATCCCAGAATGGGCGTGGCTCGGCAACAGAGCAGCAGACGAACAAGCAGACACAGCAGCAGAAGAGCACGCCATACCAGCAGCACAGCTCGGATGCTACGAGTGGGTGCGAGCGGTAGGCAACCTAGTCAGACAGCGTATCACACGCGCCACCCTGGACTGCATGGAACGACGACCACCAATGAACTGGGAAGATCGGGCGAAGCTAAGGAGAGAAGCCAAATTGCAAAGACCACCTGCGCCAACTCTTGACGAGCTGGCAACGCAGAGCTTGCACCAGGTACAAGTGACTCCGACGGGGTGGCGCTGCGGAGCATGCGCGCAGTCTGTCCTCCGACGACGAAGAACAACAGCAAGATGGTGGCTTCTCTCCCCATGCAGCATCACGGCGGCAGCAAAGAAACCACCACTAACTCTCAAAGGACGCCGAGCACACAACTCCCACCAGATGGAATGGCACAAGCGAGACCAAGGGTACTACTGCTACAAATGCGGCAGCGTGGCGAAGTACTACATATCGGAGAAACCCGGGCAGGAGTGTACACCGCCTCCACCTAAGTCACGGGCCGACTATGTGGTAAGGGCAGGGAGACAACACGCCAACGAACAACCGACAAACGCAGCTACGACCCCAGCAACATCAAGTAGCGCAAGGGCCGCGACGGCACCGAGCACTGTCTAGCACTACGCAGCACAGACTGACGCTACAAGCGCCGACTGACACAGCTCAGCACTGACTGCACGACGACAGCACTGACTGGCGTACCAGCATATTGAAGAGCGATCACGACAAGTACGACGGCATCGAGCCCTCGCACATGGACAACAGGGCCAAGATGACGCACAACATCATCCTGGACAGGGAGACCTGCGGCTCCATGGAGGTCTGCGGCGAGGCCTGAGAGGCCGCGAGGAGGCCCGCGGCCGCCGCCGCCCCTGCAGGACCGCAGGCAGGAAGGGAGGGGACGTCGTCCTGGGGGGAAATCTCGGAAATCTCCTCCTCCTCCCCCAGCTGCCGTGACAGCTCGAGGCAGTCTCTTCTGGCAGCGCCCATGAGGTCCACGAGGGGGCCCGATTGGCCATGCGCCCAGATCCCGCTCCAGAAGCTAGCACGGTCTGCTGGCCGATGACCCTCCGCGTGATAGGTTTCAATCCGTTACACTTTTCTGGATCGCGCGCTGATGACATTGTTCTTGCTTGCCCCAACATGGACCTCATACTTCTTGCAGGGGCCCAGGCGGCCCACAGAAAGTGCGAGCAGATTCTTAGTCGGCGAGTTCACGGTCGTTTGATTCTCGAGGCAGAGGTCGCCGATGGTCCCTAAACGAATAAATCTGCTGGATGCGCTGTGATATTACACCGTTCTTTTACAGAGGCCCACATTCGCAGCATGTGGGCCAGTCCTGAGGGCGCCTATGGACGCGCCATGGCCGTGCGGATCCAGCGCGGCCCGCTGGACGCGACAGCAATCATTATTGATTTTCCGACGCAGCCGAAGCGCACGGCCGAGATTCTTCATTATGTAGCGACAGTCAAGACACTCACAGAATGGTACGACCAAGTGCTATCGGAGCTCCCCTACAGAAGTACCCCGATCCTATGCGCTGACCTGGATGACGGACTCGGACTCAGCAGGGGCTCAGGTAAATGGTCGGCGGTAGAAGCGCCGGCGGTCGGAGCAGGAAGAAGTAAAGAACATCGACGGAATGGAGCAGGAGAACGCCTTCGACATGTGAATGAACAACATCATATGCTGGCTATGAACACGAGAAGCCCCGATCTTCAATCCACATGCTTTGGGAATGCGGGCGGTCAGAGCTGTATTGGTTTTATATGTGCGCCGCTGGGCATGACTGATTTCGCGACGGCATGCCACCCACTCTATCGACTAGGAGCGCCCCTCCAAGCGTATAGAGGCCGACCACCGAGGAACCACATCCCCGCGTACATGGAAATGAGCTGCATCAAAGATTTTATCCCGAGGATCCAGGCGGGGAGAATCCGCTGGAACATGGGCGCCATGATGGAAGATGTGCGCAAAGGAACCCTTCGACCCGAATTTCTGAGAGCTGTCACCTCCCGTCTGCAGGAGGAAGAAGATAAGTGGCGTGAATTGCTTGCGCGGGGACGCCCCGACGAGACTCTTGATTTCATGCATGACACTCTCATCGCCGCGGGGCAACAGTTCTTCGATGCCAAGATCACGAACGACACGACCTACCAACAGGCCAAGGAAGAACGATAACACTTACTCAAGCGACGGGCCGAATTCCGACTACAGCGCACGGGGGCAGATGAGGAGACCCTCGGGGAGCGCGAAACCAAGCTTAGGGATAATTTCACAACAGCTCAAGCTCCAGCGACAGCGCATTCAACGGCAACGACGTGAGGCTCTACTCACGGAGATAGATGAGGCTTGGGAGCGTCGGCACCTAGCGGAAGGCATGCGACTTACTCGACTCGCTGGAGCTTGTCGATGCGGGGCCAAGAAACGGGGCGGACGACTGATACGTGGCAGCGCTTTCACTGAGGAGGAGCTGACGGATTATTGGAGGAAGCCAGGCCGTGAAGGAGGAATGAGTGCGACCCCGACCACAGTCCAGAGCCTCCTTGACGAATTTCCCGATCTTGGCCCCAGCTGCATCGACGTCGAACATTGTGCTCTCGCACAGGATGACCTTTGGCGAGTAAAAAATACTTCAGGCGGACAAAAAAAAAGCGACGAGCTGTACCACCTGGGACACCCCCCACGGAACTACGGCTGATGTGTTTGCAGCCCCTGTTGAATATGAAGGTCGAGGGTCACGGGCTCGGGCGGGGCCACAGCGTGCCAGATATGCAGCAGTTTCAATCATTGTTGGAGGCGGCTTTCCGTCAAATACGATCCACGAACAGAACCCCGATCCAGTGGCATCAGCCAGGGAGCCCAGTTACGGAAGAGCGCCGCCCCAGGACCGAAGGGAAGACGCACCGTTCACGTGATGGACGCTATGGGCAAGGCTTATGACCATGACATGCTCCATATCCCGCACAAGCGTTTCGAACATGGCTTCGTCAAAGGAAAGCGCAGAGAATATGCAATATATGTCAATCAGATCACAGGTTGGAGGCTCCGACAGGCAGGACACTGCTTCGCCATCAGCTACAAAGACCTCAGCAACGCGTTCGCCAGCGGCAAGTGGGACGAGCTCGAGCAGACTGTCCAGTTGTTTGCGAAGCCCAACAACATCGACCTGTGCATCCAGCGGTTCAAGATGAGCACGATCACCCCCGAGACCGTGGAGGGCCACGTGACCCTCAAGACGGGCGAAGGCGGCTTGATGGGGGATCCGTACGCTGTTCAGTTATTTCGGGGCACCTTTTCACGACCACTGACAAAATGGAAGTATTCGATCCAGCATCCGGACGCCCTCGCTAACCAGTTGACGGCCAGGTGGCGAGACTTGAGGGCACACGTGGGGGGCTGCACTTATGCAGATGACGTGTTTCAAATACATGTGGTTCCTGTATCCACCTCGACCAAGGACTTCTTCGACACTATGAAGGACATCGATGATGCTTTCAATCGTGCTCTAACGGAGGTGGGATATGCAAGAAATCCGACAACGCAGGAACTCCAGATGCACTTTCACGGGCTCGGGGCCGCTACTCGCAAAAAATGGGCTCGTTCACATCCAGAATTTCTCCCAGGACTATTCAGAGATGCGGTGCGATACTTGGGACAGATGCTTCATGCCAATCAATCCGTCGAGACGGAGGTGAACCGCAGATGTGCCGCTTGCGCAGATTCTTTTTATTCGTTCGGCCGTGTATGGTCGCTTTCATTGCCGTATCGCTGGCTTCGCACTCTTTTCCTGAGCTGCGTCCAGAACACAGCCCTCTCGGGCATCGAGCCGCTCCTCCTCGCCCCCAACCACTACAAAAAGTTAGACGGACAAATCGCCAGATTTGGACGACGGGCTATGCAAGGCCGAGTGGCGACACGGGCGGACGGTGACCACATGAAGACGATGACGACGGAACAGATCCTAGCTTATTGGAGGATCCCCGAGACGGACGTTGAAATGACGATTCGTAGGTTGAATTGGTACGTGGGCTGGGCCAGGGACCCCCAGAAGCACTCCCAGGAGCTCTGCCTGCTGTTCGGATCCCTGGAGGTCATGGGATGCAGGGGTGGACATCTTCACGGGGACGTTCCTGGAACAGAGGCTTCTCCGTGGCTCCGTAGGTGCCAGAAGGACTTCCTGAGGGCCGCTGAGGACTTGGATTCGGGCAGGGACGTCTGCGAGTTCGTGAGTCAGAACCCTGGGAGGCTGTTAGACCAGAACGTAGTGACGGAGCTTCCCCAGCTCGATTTCACAGAGATTCGTGCCCGTTGTCTCTCGCATGCAGTCCCACCGTTTCACACGCAGACGGTGCACGCTGGCCCTGCTGAGCCTCCACCAGACGAGGCGCCCTCGGAGTGGCAGTGTGATTGGCAGCTTGACACTGAGACAGGCAAAAAGACGTGCGGGTGCGAGTTTCGAACCAGACGGGATTGCTCAACCACATGAGGAGGATCCATCTTACCAGAAACCTCAGCTCGGTGTTGACCCCCCACGACCTCCTGCATCGTGTGTCGCCGAGTTTTTGGGTGTCGAGGTAACGCTTATAAACAGCTTCAGCGTGCAATACTCCAGGTTTACTGCCCCGCTCGAGGCACAACGACGCTCCTCCCTGAGAAACCCGCGAAGGCCCTCAAGTGCGTCCTGTGTGAGTATCATGCTGCTGACACAGGGGATCTACGTTGTCATCTCCGTAGCCATCTTCCTCGAGAAATGCGGCCATCTCTTCATCCCGATATCGAACCGATCGACAGAGATGGAGCTGGAGAAGCCAGACTGGCTTCAGGTGCCCCAACGTGCTGGGGAGAAGTCAGCCGAGCTCGGCTGTCCAAGGACGTCAAGGGCAAGCTCCAAGCGGGCAAAGGAGACCACGAGATCATAGGGCAGCTCGTACTCATCATCGCGCGCCTAGTGCTGGCGGACAGCAGGGCCATCGCGGAGCTGACGGCCACCGTCTACACCACTTACGCGCTCGACTATGTAGAGAGCGGGGTCACGGATCTGATGGAGGACGCGGGCAAACGCTACCAGGAGATCTCGAACGACTTGGCCGAGAAGAAAAAAACTGGCGAGGTGGTGGATTTCAAGAGTCGGGGGCCTCCTCACCTCCACATATTCATGATAGCCCTCATCTTCCTAGCCAAGCAGGAGACCGAGTGGGGCAGGGCGCTTCGCGAGATCTACGAAAAATATATCAAGGGTTTCAAGATGCTGGAGGTGGGAGAGGTCGTCCTCCACTGGCAGTGGAAGCGGAACAGGAAGGAGGGATCGAGCCAGGAGAACAAAGGGCGCTTCATTATCGCGATCGATTCGGATCACGAAGTAGGTCGCCAGCTCATCCCCACAGTGCGCACAGCCATCATGAGCATCGGGGGAGAGCGTCTGATCGGCCCCGCACCCAGAGGCCCACTCGAGAGGGACGCGAGCAAACTCCTGGGACAGCTTCGCAAAGCCTGATCGGACAAAGTGACTTGAGGTTGAGGCCTGAGGTCGCCAGTCTGCAGTCTAGCCAGCGACTTAGAGAGCTGATTGCACTCGGTCGAGTGCCAGTGGATGTTTTACGCAGGCACGAGCCTGTCAAGAATGAGAATATGCTCCCTATCCCCACGGCCTACGGCCCTAACCTCCCGCCGATCCCCACGGTACAGCTCCGCCCGTCGATGAGGGGTCGAGGTAGAGGAGGGAGGGGTGGTGGCCAATCACGTGGTGGAAGGAGCAGCTCTCTGTAGTAGTGTAGTAGTGGCCCACCTGCAACGCAGGTGAGGTGTTCCGTGTTTCCCCCTGTGGCTATTTCTCTAGGGTGACGCACTCATTCGACATGTAATGACCTGCGCACACTGGCCACTGGGATCGAAGGCGTTTATTTCATCGGTCCCCAGGGGGCGCCCCTGGGCTGCGTGCCATATTGAGGGGTTGCCCCTAATGGGGCAGTGCGGCTCCGCCCGAGCGCAGGGGCCGTGGATAGGAAGGCGGCCCGAAGGGTACGCCACTCAGAGTTCTTCGCGAGGCCAAGTTTCAATCCAGTTGAGCCGCGAGTAACCCCGCAACCCACCGAACTCCAGGAGTCCAGTCCAGTCCAGTCCAGTCCAGTCCAATCCAGTCCTCCTCCTCCTCCTTCTCCTCCTCCTCCTCCTCCTCCTCCTCCTCCTCCTCATCCCGAACCCCAGCGACAGCCCCGGGCGTGAACAAAAACTGCGGCGCCCGGATCTCAGTCTCGCCCGACCCGATCCACGCCGGCTTTCGCGGCGGCCGTTCAGGACGATCCGGGCACCGACGGAGCGCTCCCGGCGAGGCGCAGCTGCTGGAGACCGCCCCGAGGCCCGAGGACCGACGAAGACGTCCGCAGCATCGAACCTCGAGGCCATCCACCCCTCCCTGAGCCGTGCCCCTGGCCTGGGGTCAGAAACTGCTGCCTGGACCTCGCCGGGGGGTGCGTTCCGACCAGAGTGCCGAGGCGGATCCGGCCGTGGCCACGAGGGAGCCCCAGGACGATCAAGAAGCTCCAGAGAGCGAACCTCGAACGCGAGCGGTTTCTCATGCATTGTTTTGCCGACCGATCGGCGCGGGCCCTCGTACCTCCCCCTTCTCCCCACCCCCCCGTGGAGTAGATCGTGGCTGTTTTGGGCGCCTGTCTCGATCAGGTGGAGCCTCCCCCATATGACGCACTGCTGCAAACGGTCTCAGTACGCAGAGGTCCGGAGCCAGACGCCCCCCCTCCCCATCCTTCCGCCCAGTGTCGAAACGCCGAACAAGAATCAGGAGGGAAAAAAACACACAGACACGGTTAATCGTCGCCTCCACGGACACGATGGGAAAATGTGGGAAGTGTGGGGGGGGGGGGAAGGCGAAACCCCAGGAGAGATATGGGGAAGCATGGGGAATCCCGGGCCTTTTGTGTGTGCATCCATTGGTGTGCGCCCCTGCAGGCCCCTCGAACTTCAAGACCATGCGCCTCGAGCCCCGCGCCTCGAATTTCTCGAGTCGAGCCTCCGCCGATCCAGGGCGCGCGCAGCTCCCGGAGCCAGGGCGCGCAGCTCCCGGAGCTCGCACCTCGAGCCTCGAGCTTCGAGCCTCGGGCCCCTCGGCCCCTCGAGCCCCTCGAGCCTCCCCACCGATCCAGGGCGCGCAGCTCCCGGAGCTGCTCCTCCGGCTCGACCGCGCGCTGCTCGGCGGCCTCGAGCGCGCCGCCGCGGCCGGCGGCGCGCCGCAGTGAGCCGGCCGGCGGCGCGCCGCAGTGAGCGCGCGGCGGCGGCGCTCCCTGCGCGCCGGCGAGAGGGGAAGAGGATGAGGAGGAGGAGGAGGAGTAGGAGGATGAGAGGAGGAGGAGGAAGAGGAGTAGGAGAGAGGAAGGAGGAGACGAGGAGGAGGAGAGGAGCGGAGGAGGAGGATGCGGAGGCGGAGGGAGGAGGAGGAGGAGGAGGAGGGTGGAGGAGGAGGAGGGGAGGGCAGGAGTAGGGAAGGGAGGGCGGGAGGAGGAGCCGCCGCCGCCGCCGCGCCGCCGCCAGCCGTCCGCCGCCGCCACGGGCGGGGTCGGGGCCAGCCCGCCGCCGCCGCCACCTCCTCCCAGTGTCGGGGGGCTGCCGGAGTCCAGGCCTCCTAGCTGCTGTCGCGGGCAGCAGATGGGTGCCAGGAGGAGCGCGCTCCTCCCCACCTCCTCCTCGACTTCCCGTATACCCTCCACCTCCCTCCTCCCAACTCCACTCAACTCCTATCCTTCGAGCACCACCAACTCCCATACCTCCGCCCTCCTCCTCCTCCTCGTCCTCCAGTCCTCCTCCTCACCATCCTCCCTACTCCTCCTTTACTCCCTCCTTCCTCCAACCCTCCAACGATCACTCCATCCCCCCACCTCCCTCCTCCACCTCCTCCTCTCCTCCTCTCCGATCCTCCTCCTCCTCCCTGCCCATGCCTCCTCCCCTCCTCCTCCTCCTCCTCCTCCCCCTCCTCCTCCTCCTCCCCCTGGATGGGGTCGGGGTAGGTGGGGGTCGGAGGATCGCGCCGCATCGTTGATGCATCGACGATATGCGGCTCGGTGCGGAGCCCGATGTTTCCCACGCCGACGTCGCGGACGCGTCGCCGACGTCGCCGATGCATCGCCGATGCATCGCCGCTACATTGGCGATGCATTGGCGATGCGGCGCGATCCTTCGACCCCATCCACTCGAACCCCATCTAGGAGGCCTCAACAGAGGTGGTTCTGGCCAGAAATCAATAGTGAAGTCGGGCGTGTCCCTCTACAGGCGGCATGTTCAAAGATAGTCCAACAGAAATCGTCTGGGGACGATGTTTTGACTTTTCCTGACTATTTGGGAGTATGTTTGGACTATTTTTCATTTTTCGCCCAACTTCCCCCTGTAGGGGGACAGGCCCGACCTACAGTCGGGGCGCTGAAGAAGGAACCCTTTTCGTTGGGGAGGGGCTCGGTGTTCCTTGATGTTTTAACAGTTTGCCTCAGGTCTTCCCGAGGTTTTCCATGGGACATCGGTGTTTAACTTGTGAGAAAAAGGGGCCTCGTTCCTTATTTGGGGTTCCTTGGGTCAACGCCCCGACTGTAATGCCAGAGGTGGCCCTGACCAGAAGTCAAGAGGGAAAAGGTCGGCACCAGCTGGGGAAACGAAGAACGGCATGAACATACAAGCTCGGAGCTCCGCGCGGACTTCTCGGATCGGCGCTGGGGCCCCCCAGCGGCGCCTCCGGCATTGCCCCTGGCGCGAACCGCGCGCCAGGGGCGGGGGGTTCTTACCAGCCTGGAACATATCCCTATCCCTGTGCTGGGCATCTCCTCATCACGATGCCAATCTTAGGGATTCCCTTATTTTTTGAGGGCGAATCCCTAAGATTGTCATCGCCTTTTGGCGTGTCAATCTTAGGGATAGGGATACGTTCGAGGCTGGTAAGGTTCAGCGCGGATCCGAGAAATCCGCGCGGACCTCCGAGCTTTTTTGTTTAGGTCATTTGGTCATTTTTCGTTCCCCTATTCGGGGGGGGCCCGAGGTTGTCCTGGCCAGAAATCAGGAGGGAAAGATCGGCACAAACGCGAATGAGAGTGGACTCTTAGGGAAATGTTGGGAAGCATGCGGAATGGAGGGAAAAAACATCCAAGAAGTAATTACGTAGAAGCGTAGGACAATCTGGGACATCATATTGTTTTACGCAGGTGCCTGCGACAAACTCCGCCAACGTGCCTCTGCAACAGCGCAGCAGGAAGGAGGCTGAGTGTAGGAATCGCGCAATTCCTACGATTGGTCTGAAATGGGACGGGTCGCGAACTCAACCTCGTCTTCGTCCGCGCGGTAGGAAGGTGGTCGAATTCACGCCCCGGGGCAATTCAGAAATTGGTCTGAATTGGGGAGGGTCGTGATCTCGACCTCGTCTTCGTACGCGCGGTAGGGAAGAGGAGGAGGAGGAGGAGGAGGAGGAGGCGGAGGAGGAGGAGGAGGAGGAGGAGCGAGGAGGGGGAGAAAATGAGGAGAAGATGAGGAGAACATGAGGACGAGGAGCATAAGGCTTCTTGCGGCCTCCAAGGACCTCCCTGAGGGCCTCTTATGGGCCTCTTATGGGCCTCTTTGGGCCTCTTGTAGGCCTGTTGGGTTTTCTTGGGCCGTCTTCGGGGACTCTTGGCCCGTCTGATGCCTTCGGAGGCCGTCCTGGGGGCCTTTCAGGACCGTCTTGCAGCCCTCTTGGAGCCCTTTCGGCGAAAGGCCTGCCTTGGATTGTGGGCGGCGATTTCAACAAGGCCAGCGAGCAGGTTACCAAGAACGACTGGTTGTATTCGGTAGGCGGCATCAGCATGACCAGCAATGCTACCGCGTGCAGGCAATCGCTTCCTGGTGCCATGATTGATTCTTAGGCTTACGCCACACCGCCGACCCCTTGTTTATGCCAATCTGGGGGTAGTAGAAGCTGCGAAGGGGTGAAAAGGCGAGTGATATATGTTTGGTGTCTGTTCGCCGCCACCGCCAGAGGGTCTCGGGCAGTTCCGCGGGGAGGTCCGAGCGGACAGCGACACTGCGAGTTTTGGAGCCTCTCGGGGGCCGTTTCGGAGCCTCTGGGGTGCTTCTTGGGGGTTCCTTGGGGCGTCTGGGCGGCCTCGTGAGGGCCTCTGGGGGCCTCTTGGGGCACTCTTGGGGCCCCCTGGGGATCCTGGGGGCAGAAAGCTAGAGTTTCAACATGTTTGGTC